TCTCTCTTCTTGTTTATTTTCTTTCTCCTTCAACAACTGCTGTAATCTCTCTTCTTGTTTATTTTCTTTCTCCTCCAACCACTGCTGTAGTCTCTCTTGTTTACTTTGCTGTTCGAGCTGCCATTGTTGTAGGTTTTCTTGTAACTGCTGTTGTCTTTCTTATTGTTTCTTTTCTTTTTCCTCCAACAACTGCTGTAATTTCTCTTCTTGTTTCTTTTCTTTTTCTTCCAACAACTGTTGTAATCTCTCTTCTTGTTTCTTTTCTTTTTCTTCCAACAACTGTTGTAATCTCTCTTCTTGTTTCTTTTCTCGTTCTTCTTGTTTCTTTTCTTGTTTATTTTGTTGTTCGAGCTGCCACTGTTGCAGATTTTCTTGCAACTGCTGTTGTCTCTCTTCTTGTTTTATTTGCTGTTCAAGCTGCCACTGTTGCAGGTTTTCTTGCAACTGCTGTTGTCTCTCTTCTTGTTTCTTTTGCTGCTCTTGTATTGCTGCCATCAAGTCTGCTAAGCTGCAGTTTGATTTTCCGCCTCTCGTTTCCATTTTTTTTGTTCCACTTCTGACACCAATTTGTTACGTCTCCGTTTGTTAATTAATTTTCCGTAACTTAGTTCCGACGAAACTTTAGTGACACAAGTCCTTACTTGATAAAACTGGTTTATTCTTTCCGAATATAACTTTACGATACACTTAATTTCAACAATCACGGTAAAACAAACGCTATAATAACGAACGTGCTCAATAATACTCTCTGACTGCAGATCAATTACTCGCTGTCTACACACACCTTGTTGTCCCGTCACGTTCTCACCCTCTTATATATACCAGACTACCCTATATCTAGTAATCTCCCGACAATTCCCGAGGTTCGAGAGAACGAGTCACGTGACCTCGCTGACGCAACAATATCAATTAATATATTTAAAGCTTAATGAGGTAAACTATGAGTTACAGAAACTTGCATGTTTCATGGGCTGAACATCTGAACATCATGGAGGTTTGTACGAAATGTTACACGTAGCTTAGTTTCTGACTAAATAATACAGTTGCACCTGTTGACACTCCAGAAAGGGTAAAGTATGCTTCATCAATCCAAAATCAACAACTCGGGTTAAATCCTTTTCCTTATGAGCTTGAACATGGTGCAGCTTGTAAGGAAATCTTCGCAAAATTGACTAAAGAACCTTACGAACATTTGAACTTGGCAAATCCAGACATCAAGCGCATAACATGCACTGCTGCACCCATGTATACTTGTATTGGCTTGTTATGCTATGGTATGGCTGAATTTTGCGATAGTTTCAGTAGGTGTCGGTGGTTTGTCTGTACGTGGCTTATCACAAATGCAGCCTGTCTCTTCGAATTTGTTTTATGAAGTTGCGCACTGGATCAAGGCCCTCTGTGGATGTTATGCACTCTTCAGTATTCCCTGAGAGCTGCTTCAGCATTGCATCCTTTGATGTAGTAGCATTTTACTAATTCATCGCTCTGCACACTGTTCAGTTTCATATTGGTTGGATGAGCTTTACTGCTACCGACAAATTCGTTTATACCCATGAGGTATGTGCGAAAGAAACCACAGTGGCGCTCCTTGTGGCAACACGTGACAACTGTTGTATTTGCCTCCGCATATCACCCGTAAAACCCAGTTCAGTTTGACCTTCTTATGTCATACAGTTTGTGAGAAATGAGGCGCTGAACTGCGAAACTTTCTATTTAATCACCCCGTATTAGCCCCCAGTAGCTCTTTAGTAAGTCGGAAGGTTTATAAAAGTATCGAAACCGATACCCGTGGTAGACACAGCACAGACAGCCCATTGTGTAGCTTTGCGCTTAACTACAAACAAATAAAATCTTGTATTATGATTCTACTTTAGTTGCTGGCTGATATTTTGGCTTTATAAACCTGATTTTGATTTTTTCAATTCCGTATTTAAATTTGTTATTATATTATGATCAATGAAAACCAGTTAAATTCTATATTCTGTTTAATTTAGTTTTATGTCTACTTTTTGTTATTTCGTTTTGATTTTTTATTCAGTTTGTTTATTTTAACCTCTTTTTAATTTGTCTCATTTTCGGTTTTGTTCTGTTCATAAGTTTTTCGCCTCCCAGTGGCACAGCGGTATGTCTGCGGACTTACAACGCTAGAATCCGGGTTTCGATACCCGTGGTTGGCAGAGCACAGATAGCCCATTGTGTAGCTTTGTTCTTAATTACAAACAAAACATAAGTTTTTCTTTCATTGAATTTTGATTTTATTTTGAATTTTATTTTGTTTATTTTAGTTTTTACCTGACTTTTGAAATATCACATGTTAATTTAATAATTTTCCGTTAGTTTTGTGATTTTATATTTCTCATAACGTCGTACTCATAGTTTTAAGGAAGTTATTGATCACAGGAAATACAACCTTATTAGTTAATTTTAATTTGAAATAAAAAAAGGAAAGTGTGATAGCAGTAAAACTAAGATATTTCAGCGTTCTATAACTAGAAATTATACATATATGTATGAATATTCAGGTAATGTTTTCCAAATGTTAATGCAGGTATTCTGCATGTAGTTTGTTGACCTTCTTGTAACCAGGAAATGAAGGAGGTCATAGTCATCTGAAGGATTGATACAGAGACTTTTGCAAATTAGAACGAGCTGGTAAATTATCTCATATTGGCTACTGCAAACGAGATTTTACTCTATATCCTTATATCAAGCAGGTTCCCATGTGGGACAACGGTAAGTCTATGGATTTACAACTCTAAACTCATGGGTTCGATTCCCCTCGGTGGACACAGCAAAGAACCAGATGTGGCTTTGCTATTAACAACAGCCACACACATATATATCAAGCAGAGACTTGGACCCTAAGGCAAGAGGACAAAAGAAGATTAGAAGGAATGGAGATGAGGTGTTAGAGAATGGTAATGCATGTTAGATGGAGTGACTTCATGTCCGATAATTATGTGTGATACAAGAACAAAAATAACGACCAGTGGTGGACGTCATAATATATATAGTATATAGAAATTTTCAATTGTTT